CACCTACATCTATCTCCCTGTTTGTAAAATGTAAAATGTAATTTTGTTTCTGATGTGAATGGAATGTGTGGTTGTAGACTGTGGTACTGGAGACATCCTGCCAACTCATTGTATGTATACCAAGTGCCATATTAGATGATCTCAAGACATAAACATAAACATTAAATGGTCAATGGTCAATGGTCAATGGTATTTTTCTGGCCTGGAGCGACCCGTATGCCCAAATGGGCTCATGAGAGGAGCCAAGAAGTGCAACAGTTTAAGTAGTTGTTGACCCAATATCAAAAGCCAATCAGGACACTTGAGGTTACAATCTTACACTTTTCCATTGCTTAAATATCAATATAGTTCTATGGAAAGCAAATATCTTTAATTATTTTCTAGAGAATAACAAAATAATAGTTTAATTGATGGATCTTGTTTCAGGTGAATAAGTACACTTTGACAATGCATTTGAGGCAAGCTCAGGAAAGCAATTCGATTACTGGACGATTCCATCCTGGTATCTTCTAATAAATAAAAAATTAAGTTGTTTTAAAAGAGATTTTGATTATAAATACTTTTTTTGCTTGTCTGTCTAAAAGATTGACATTACCTGATAATATCAGGCAAATGCTTACAAAAAGTTATGAATGATGTTTGGTAGTTGGTGGTTGGTTAATTTAAATTAAAGGATAAGACCACAATATAATATTCAGAATGTCACTCACTATGCCTCTTTTCAATTCTAAAGTAGAGCAAACTATTAGAGAAGAGCTTTTTAACCTTTCATAAACTAAAAAAATAATGAGTTTTGTTAATTTTAAATTGAATTGCTAATTTGTTTAAAATTTTGTTGGTTTTTACAGCTTAACTGTAATTTCATGTTTGGTTTTACGATTTGAGATATGTGCTAGGAAGAGAAGAGCATCATAGCTAGGTATGGAAGATAATAACTTTGTTGTTGACATACACTTCAACATGGTTCCAAACAAAGAGTCCAATGACAATTTTGGAAACACCAATGTTGTTCCTGTTTTGTCTATTCCTATGGCATATCCAACCCCGCAAAGCGAAGAATCTTCCCTAGTTATATATACTACAGAACTAAACACGAAACATTAAAAAAAATGAAGGGGATGAAAGTGACACTTTAGAAACTTATAAATCGAGAGATTGAAAATAAGATTTTACGAAGTAAAAGTAAAATGTGAAAAATGTTATTTTCAAAAAACTGAGGATCAAAGGGTAGAAACAATCGTTTTTGATAAGTTTCTTTTTAATATCCTTTCTAATAAATAAATGTTTTTTTTTGCCACATGTCAATCTCTAATGAGTTTTGATACCTATTATTTTGTGATATTTTTTAAACAAATAATATCTACATGTCAATTTATGTTTTTTTTTTCAATTTTTAAAATTAAAAAGCCACATAATTTTATATTTATATATGTAAAGTATCAAATGTAATAAATATTATAATAAATTTCAATTACTATGTTTCTTTATTCTTTATTTCAAAATTTTATTTTAAAAAATACTTATTATTTGAGTTTTAATATTTTATTTTCTTTAATCAACCCGTGTAATACACGGTTTTATACCTAGTATAGTATAATTACAAAAACAAAAATAGCTCTCTCTTGAAACCATACGAGTCACAATAACCTCTATCCATACGAGCAAGCCTGCTCCAGAGGGTAGATACCATGAATTATTATATCATAGAAGTAAATTCAGAAATAAGCTTAAATTAATAGGTCAAAATAATAGTATTTCTTGACAATTTATTGAAAAAGAAGAAGAAGATATACATGGAAATGAAACTAACCTTTGTATTTATATTTATATACTAGGTTACAACCCTTGGAAACCATGGGTAAAAAATTTATAAAAAAAATGATATTATTAATAAGAGTTAAGATTATCAATTCTTTTGTATCGATTATTTAAAATTAAAATTAATATAAATTTGTAAAAAAGTATATAAATTTGAATATATGTTAAATAGAAACGCAATCAAATCATCGAAAGTTAAATATGAAGATAACTAAAATGCATCTTTAAATATGTGAATGATTTATGAAGTGTGAGGGCAAATCATTATTTTTTGTAATGAGGGAGCAATCAAGAAACACCATGTGACGTCTATTAAAGTCTGAAAATCAACTATCAAAACAAACTGAATATTATGGATTACAATGCTATATAAAGAATAAATTATTTTAAAAAAATGTTACAAAAAAATAGAAAAAAACACAATTGTTAGAAGTTAATGGGTACGAAGCATTTATAAATTCCTAAAATAACAGGAAATGTATTAATTGTTAATGTGGTTGAGTGCAAATTACCATTATGTCCATGGAGTACTAATAATAAGAACAAAAATTATAAAATCCTTAAAATAGTTCTACAGATGGTATAATGGTAATTAAAACAATCAGTTTTGCCACATGCCTCTTAAAAAATCATTTACAACCATAAATAAGTTTACCAATATACCCGTAACACATTAATTTTGTATATGTAATACGTAAGATATGAGATATATGTGGCGAGGGCATTTTCGTCCTTTGAACATACTTATAACTATTAACAAACCTCATGATACATTATAACAGCGGATAATGGATCGACATACATATATGCTTTTCTTTTTAATGAAGAGGCGTGAAATATGCAAGTGACAGAAATACCCCTTCTACAAGACACACCTACTTAAATTGCATAAAACCACACCGCTTAACCTATTTATTCATATTGGGAAAATGGCTTATTAAGGTAACTAACTATTTCAGTTGTCCATATATAGGTAATGTTCTTTTTTTGTACACATTAAGGTAACTAAGTTGTTTTGTTTGTTCACATTTAGGTAATATGACCGACTATCACCTGTTTTTGCTTATGTGACATCCACCTGGCATATGACTAGAATACGTTGCACCTACGTGGCATGGTGGATATATAGGAAAATGATTTATTAAGGTAACTAACTATTTCAGTTGTCCATATATAGGTAATGTTCTTTTTTTGTACACATTAAGGTAACTAACTTGTTCTGTTTGTTCACATTTAGGTAATATGACCGGCTATCACCTGTTTTTGCTTATGTGGCATCCACTTGGCATATAACTTGAATACGTTGCACCTACGTGGCATCCACCTAGCATATGACTTGTTTTGTTTCTTCTTCCTCATCTTATTCTTCAAGACGACAAGATGAATTTCAAGTTGATCATCCATGTGATTGCGACTTACCATCTCGTGTGAAGATTTCAAGAGCTCCTGACAACCGTAGAAGAAAATTTAGAGTTTGTTAAAACTCGATGGTAAATCAATATGGTTGAATATGTTGCAGGAGTTCTTGAAATCTTCACATGAGATGGTAAACCACAATCACATGGATGATCAGCTTGAAATTCATCTTGTCATTTTGAAGAATAAGATGAGGAAGAAGAAGCCATCGTCGATCGATCTAGGGTTTAGAATTAGGGGGGAATCGTATGACACAGTTATAATGTAATCGAATGAAGACAATATATGCATCATGCCACGTAGGTGCAACGTATTCAAGTCATATGCCAGGTGGATGCCACATAAGTAAAAACATGTGATAGCCGGTCATATCACCTAAATGTGAACAAACAAAACAAGTTAGTTACCTTAATGTGTACAAAAAAGAACATTACCTATGTATGGACAATTGAAATAGTTAGTTACTTTAATAAGTCATTTTTCCATATATGCACCATGCCACGTAGGTATACCGTATTCAATTCATATGCCAGGTGGATGCCACATAAGCAAAAACAGGTAATAGCCGATCATATTACCTAAATGTGAACAAACAAAACAAGTTAGTTACCTTAATGTGTACAAAAAAAAAAAAGAACATTACCTATATATAGACAACTGAAATAGTTAGTTACCTTAATAAGTCATTTTCCCTATTCATATTTGATGTTAGAGTTCTACAATTACCAAGGTGTTTTTATCTTTTACTTAATAGAAATATGTCTCGATCAAGTAAGTTCAGGTATAAGTTTTTTTTTATCTAATGCAAATATAATGACATAATAAGTAAAATAAGAGAAAAACTACAAAATATCGGGTAAAATTAAAAACCGAGCCACACCCTTTAAACAAACCATCATTGAGTTATCAAAATCAGTAACATGAATGTAGTCACTATAAATTATATGCAAATAGGTATACATTAGAAAAAGCTAAAATGAAAAATGATAACTACCTCCACCTTATAGTTTATAAAAAATAAGGCAAACATAGATACTCTACTCCCAATACTAAAGAAATTAGTCTACAAATGGATTTAGTTAATATGTTTTTGGTTTAAACCGGTTCACATCAATTACAAAAAATATAATTATAGTAAAACATGACATAAATGCCTCTTAATTCAAAATGGGTCCAATCAATCAAGTAATACAAAATACAATCACGTAATACCAAAGCAGGGAAAATATAACAAAAAACAGAAAAAAAAAAATATTTCTATAAAACGTGACAGAAATACCCTCAAACTAAAAAAATAAAAATAATCAGAATTACATTTCTATTTGTATGAGTTTGACGGTACTTTTAGGTTTCTTTGTGTAATCCGTCAATGAATCTGGCCTATAAACATGACGTGAACCAATTTTTTTACTTGGTGAACCAATTTTTTTACTTGGTGAACCAATTTAATAGAAAAAAATTGTTCTAATTACCATTGTCAATTTGTAACTGGAAAATGATTAATTAACATACAAAGGTGAATTTTCTCTACTTGTTGTTGCCTTACGTTCAAAAGATTCTGAATAATACAATAAAGTATTATAAAACATTCAAACATATTCAAACAAACTATATACCGTTGCTGTGAAAATTACCAATATGTCCCTAGCGTAGTAGGCGGATAAAAAGATGAAAAACAAACAGGGCATTTTCGTCCATTGAACTTACTTATAACATGAAAAACAAAAGTACAATGCCTTTATATGTAATATTTTCGAATTTTGTTGCACATATAATTTTTTTTTTGTACTGTATTGTTGGAATACATTTTTCTTTCCTTCTGTTATTTTACTTTGTAACTATTGGAACTAATGTTTATTATGTTATATAAAGATAAGCATGGCTGGAAAGGATACTATTAGGGAGGATGATTTTGATGAATTGACTTCCAATTCCATAGCTACATATTATGATATATCAAGCATATCAGGTTCATAACTAAAATCGAACAAAATTACACAGAAAGACCTAACATATTAAGAAAAAATAATGGAACAAAATTACACAGAACATATAAAGACAAACATAATTACAATTATGTCCAGACAAACATAATTACAATTATGTCCCTATAGTAGTAGGCGGATAAAAAGATTCTGAATAATACAATAAAGTATTATAAAACATTCAAACATATTCAAACAAACTATATACCCCTGATGTGAAAATTACCAATATGTCCCTGAAGTAGTAGGCAGATAAAAAGATGAAAATTAAACAGGGACAGCCTCAATGATTCAAGCATATCAGGTTCAGAAAAAACAAAAAATAGAGAATTATATAAAAAGATGAGAATACATTCTCCATATTTACAGATTTACAGATTATGATATATCGAGCATATCAGGTTCAGAAAAAACAAAAAACATAGAATTTGACAGCCTCAGTGATAAAATCGGTAATTATAAGTAAAACAATAACATACAACGTTAATGTGGCCTAAGTCCTAATTCATATAAATCTATTTATTTACCAATCGCAGGCGTACCTTCAATAGTTCAATGAGATAAACTCGAAGAAGCAACGTAAGCAGTAAAGCAGAATGCGATAAGAGAGAGAGAGAGAGAGAGAGAGAGAGAGAGAGAGAAATAGAGAGGGGGGCCTGCCGCCTACGATTGGTAATTTGCGATGGTATCTCTCGATTGAGAAAGGGGAGCGATAGATGAACAAAACCATATTCAGACGAATTATGATTGTCAAATAAGTTTTTGATCGTTCTTTTGAGAAGAAGAAACTTACCGAATGATTGAAGTCGCTGATTGAATATCTAATAACTGAAGTGTGGATGATGCTTGATTGTTGGAAGACGATGCTGTAAAGAATGATTCATATTCGTATGTTTCAATTATATATTGAACATAATAAGATCAGATCGACCTAATAATCAAATTTAAATGTAATTGATATGATTGATATTGATACCATAAAAAGATGCGGGCATATAACGAAATTGATTCAATATTCCATTCGATTTCCATCCATATTCCAAATTCCACATTCAAATTGCTATATTGCCATATTCCATATATAATTTCCGTATGTAATGCTACGTGAAACCAAGCAGGGGTAAAAATGGGATTTAACATTGGGAGGAAAGTGAATTTTTGTTAGGACACGTGTCAAACAGGTTCCGTTTATTAGATAGGAATATATGCCTTATTTCTACCCTTTTATTCTCTAGCACTAGGTGAAAACCCGTGGAACCCACGGGTGATAATTTTAAATAGAATTTAAAAATTGATTACATATTAAAATAATCTATCATTAATTTAGAAAAATTTATGAATTGTAATATTGTATTTATTTTAATAATTTTGTAATTTGTATGTATTTAATTAAACACATAAATCCATCTATTTTATAAAAATAATGATTTTGTATAATGAAACATATTATTTGTGTGAAACGACTTGTAATAAATTTAAACCCATGGAAAGCACAGTTGAAAAGGGAAAACAATATTCATAACTTGTGTACTCTACGTTATTAGAGTAAAGCAAATTTAAAACATCCATTATGTTTGACAAATATTTTTTACCCTTTTGAATAATTCTCATTAATACTGTGCTTTGTCTAATGTGTCAAAAGATTATAAACCTAAAGAATTTATTCTCCCTTTTTCAAGCTGAAGAAGGAAAATATTTTTTTAACTGAATGAAAATATTTTTAGCTTATTTTTGATCAATGAAAATATTTTTAACTGATATAGCATGCAACTATCATCAAATAAGTCAAACTATTGTCCTTAGATGAATATATAAAAATAAAACATACTTCATTTACAAAAATGAAACATACTTCATATAACTAATTGTTTAATACAAAAAATAAATTTGGAAAACTAATTATTTTTTTGGCAATGAATATAAAAATAATAAATTATGCACAAAACAGTTTTACTATTTTCCAAATCAAACTTGTTAAAAGGGTATCTAACCAATAGAAAATTTTAAAACATGTATATTAAGATTTTATAAAAAAAATATTCCATATAATGTCTTTTCAATCATTATATAATATATATTATAAATTTATATTTAAATGATTACCTATTTATTTTTTTATTTTTTATAAAAGTAATCAGTTGTTCGCTTGTTTAAAAGAGTCGGATAGATTATTATAACTTAGAGATTTCATTTCCTCTATCGTGTTTTGATATTTTTCTTCATCAACCTGACAAATCTAAATAGTCATATTTAATAATTTGTGTTTCACCAAATAAAATTATGTAATGTATTAAATTTGGTTATTTTAACATGAAAATAAAGATAAATTTTAATAAAGATCCCTTTAAAAGACTGAATGGAAATTAGTATTTTTGTCACCAAAAGGAAATATAAACTAATTTAAAAATATAATAAAGCAAGAGATAAATATTACATTATTAGTAACTTATTAATTCTAAAAGTAAATTACAAAATCTATCATCATTAAGAAAAGTTATGTTTAAAAAAGATAATCTTATTAGTTAGAAGGTACCAAAATGAAATTTTTATGCGTTTGAAAAATTTGCTATAAATATAAATATAAAATGACAAAGATACATTATATATATCATTAATCTCTTTTGTATCTAACTGTTTATCAAAGTAAAATAAGTTACATTAACTGACTATTAATTTGACTATTAATTTTATGAAAAAAAAATAACAAAAAAAATATTTGTTTGTTATTAAACAACTAAAGAAAATAAAGTTCATGGTTTTGAACATATACTGGAATCCAAGTACTATATGGGCTAAAGAATTAGCAAATAAATGACAGTTCTCATCATGGCTTCAATTCTTAAATTGGTGACCTACAAATAGGAATTTAGAGATAGAAATCAAAAAGTTTAATAAAATGTTAAAAATTGAAAAGTAAAAAGTTACCAATGTTGTCACTATAAACTTTATCTCCATCTCTCTACAAGACCTCATTAGATTAATAATGAGATTTCTATAACAATATACAAAAAGTAAATAAATTCTAAAATAATGGGCCAAATTTATAAACATATTTCATACCTTATCTCATGAAGCACTGAATAAACACGTCTGATTAAGAGTGAAGTTGGAGGTGCAAATAGTTTTTGTGTCTGGCAACATAGTTGAGCCGCATCACCTTATTTAAAGAGATTATTTAGTATGAAAAATATGTTAATTAGAGAAAATATAAATTATAAATTATAACACTTACCAAGATCACCTAAAGTGTTGTACATCTCGCGAATCTTCAATTTGTTTGTTCCACATGCCTCTTCAATTGCTGCTGTCACAATGCTTCCACCATTGTAATTACAAGAAAATAAATAGTGAATCACATATTGTAGAAATGGTTTGAATACAATCGAGTGATACAGTGTTTGAAAATTCTAAACAATCAAAGATTCAAACAATGTAAATATTATCAACTAAAAATTTACCATTCCAATGCACAAGAACCGTGATTCTGTGAATACAAAATGAAGAAAACATTTCAAATCTGCCCTTATTTTTGAATACACAGCTTTAGATCTAGAATTTACACACAGAAAATCTCAAAGTCTTGTTCATAATCACCTAGTAGAGAGTGAGAATCCATTTGACAAAGATACAAGATCTTTTCTATGTTTACAGGAATTACCCAAAGAGATATGATATCATTCAGGTATATTTATAGTGTACATAAAAGGTTGTAACTAACTGTGTTCTCCTGGTCAGGAGCAATCTTATTTGTGCACAAGTAGACAGTTGGCAGCACATCCTCTGGTGACAAAATTAGTAGCTGTTTAAAAAAATGTTGATAAGTACAAATAGACCATAGAAAACACCAGATTGATGCATTGTTGCCATAATTTAAAACAAATAAATTCATAATTTGCTTTTTTAGAAGAAACATATTATAGGTCCAATTTAAGCAACCTTCTCAAGACTTGAAGTTGTCCATGATGAAAAAGTCGGAAATTTTATAAAAAAATTAATATGTAATGAGAAATGAAAGTGGGATGCTATTTCTTACCTCAGCTACCCAAAACCCAGGCAATATTTCTTCCCAAATGGAAGTAGAAACTATTCCTTCACGGTTCTCCAATCAAAAGAAATGTGCCCTTTGTTACTATAGAAATGTTATTTTCTTATAGCTAGCTAGTAAAATCGAGTTTTAGCATTACATTGATTTAGATGTAAAAATGGGACAAAAAAAAGTTGTTTGTTAATATCTAGCTTTGTTTCAAAAATTAAGATTGCAGAAGAGTCACAGTTCAAAGTAGAAATGAGGTTGTGTATTGAACTGGTAGGTCTAGAAAATGAGAAAAAAAAAAAAAGTAAAATTGTTGAATAGTTCTCTACATATCATATTCACATATAGTGAACAGAAAATTGTTCAAAATCAACAAAAAATACAGTGGCCATTAAAATCGTTGATAATAGGCAAACAAAAGCATTGGAACTGAGTAAAATTCACAATACTTGTTCTAATAAGTCAACGATCAGCACAGAAATTCTACCTGATGAACTGAGGATCCGTATTCTTGCCTTATATCACAAGCCAATGTTTTTCCCTGAAAGGAATGCTTCTAAATTACTGAACAACAATGGCAGACTGTGGATAGTCTCCAACTCCAAATATTATGATGTGTGCCACATCATTCATTACCCTTTCCCCAAACACTAAACTTTACATTAAAGGACTATCATGTTGATGGAATACCGTGAGGTTTAAATAAGATCTATATCAACTCACAAACAGGGTATAAATCTAATTGCCATTATAGAAAATCTTAATAATCTTCATTCACATCCAAAGTGAAAACATTACCTGTTTTAAAAAATATATACGGAAAATTATTGGGTGTAATGAAAAAAATGTCAATATGGACAGAATCAACAAAAATAAACAAAATTCAACTACAAATTGGAGTGAAGAACTTACTTTTTGGGGGAAAAAGGATTTTGGGTTCGATAAAAAATGAAGAACGGATGCCGACATATCACTTTGTTGTCTTCCAAAATAATTTAAGTGATACCTGATAGTAAAAAAACCTAATGTTTCATTCAAATCACCTTATGGCAATTGGGGTCGATGGTCATCCGTTGCAGCAACAACAATCTATCGCGATAAAAGCGTGCAAGACTGATGGTATGAAATCGTCAACCGTAGAAAAAAATTAGATTTTGATTTGCAAGGAAGTAGCAACCGAGACGACAAACTTTGAGCCACCAACGAAGTTGAAGCAGGTGTGGAAGAGATTGTATATGGCATCGATTGATGTTTTTGTGGGTGTGTCACCAGTCGTTCCGTCGTCACCTATGTTGAGAAGAGCGAGATTTGCTTGAGGCGGCAGCGGGAGAGGTGGTGGAAGACCCTGGTAGATTGGTGTTTGTCTCTCTCCCAACTGATCTGTCATCCACTTCAAATTTGCCATCGCTTCCTCCTCTTGTTCCTTCATCCGAGCTCACCAAAAAGATTAAAGAAAAGGAGTCAATGGAAATTAGAGGTTACAAAGCAAGAATGCAGTTGAATCGTCTAAGTAAACTTTCAAGCTTTCAAAATATTAAAGGGGCGACTGATTGATTTACAACTGAAGGAGTGAATTAGGGATTTTGAAATCCAGATCACAACTAAGGGACCGAGATTTGAGGATGATTGAAGATTTAGAAGGGCATTTACGTAAATTGAGCTGAAGAAAAGAAGTGGGAAAACTCTATTTTAGCGGCCTGGGAGACCGACACATGGCACGATTCCACTTATTTATTAGGATAGGATTGGTGGAATATCAAATAGTAATAAGAATATGATGTCCTTAAATAAATAAATGGTTATCATAGTAGATTCTTAACTTCCCTTTGTTTTCTCATATCCATGAAAAGCCTTAAAAGTGAAAATTAGGGTAAAGACTATATGAGTGCATTTCACGGTAAATAATTGTGCACTTCAAGAAAAATATAATGGATTCTTAGAACTCTTCAAGTCAAGCATACAACAATATGCATATTTCGTAAAATTGTTCATTAAAAAAAATTCCTTGCAAATTCTCAACAAATACGGAAATACCCTAGCTAGTTATAGTCTTTTCTAATCCAAGAGTTAGGACATCATCACGTGAATCTAAGTCCAAACCATTTGTAAAAATGGACATCAAACAATAATACCATCCGACGCAGTTGTATGGGGCCACAATTCACCCAATAGGATCACACCGAATTCATATAAGTGCCCTTAATATAATGACTAGAAATGAATAAGTGAAAACATCTATTAAACTCTATTATAAAGATTGAAGCAATTGTCTACTATTGTAAATGGATTCATGAAGTGTTTTTTGTTCATCGAATGTGTTGAAAAACATAAAAATTGAGACATCTGTCGACTAATACAATGATAGCAACAACGAAATCAACACACATTGACCTTCGATCCATGTGTGATGTGTGTTTCATCCGATTGTGTTGGTTCATCCATGTCCCACTTCGATTGTGGGGACAAGGGCGGAGCTAGAAATTTTGAACGGAGGGGGCTTATATATATATATATATATATATATATATATATATATATATATATATATATATATATATATATATATATATACTAGTTTATAACCCGTGAGAAACACGGTTATAAAATTAATTAAACTTTTATATTGAAAAATCAGAATTACAATCAATTGTTTTAAACAAATTATTACTTAAGAAAATTTTTTAATTATATAAAATTATAATCGTTGATTTAAATAAATACTCGAAGTTATATCATCTTATAATCTGTATTAATTTTATTTTATTTTTTAATATAATGTTATTAATTTAATATAATTAAAGTGGGAAAATTTAAAATGATGAATGTTAGGTGCTATTTGTGCACCTTTTTGCACACCTTTTAGTCCCATTTTATGCATATATTTAGCACAATTGTTCTTCCTTTTCCTTGCATTTTATCATATTCATTTTAGTCTCTAGAACAACCTTATTTGCACACTTTTATATCTTTTTCAGGTAAACCGGAGGTTGGAACGCGCTTTGGGAAGTGTCGGGAAGCATTGGTGAAGATTTCGGGACGATCGGGCGAAGAACGAAAAAGTTGGAAAAATCAAGTTTGGAATTGGAGTCAGAGAGGTACACGGGGCGTGTTGAATTTACACTGAAAAGTGAGCACGGGGCGTGTTTGACCAAAATAGGAGCTGTTGACCATGTTAAACACGACCCGTGTCAGTTTAATGCAAATCAACACGAGGCGTATTGCTGAACACGACCCGTGTCATTCTAGCCTATTCGAACACGGGCCGTGTTCGACCCAGAAACCAACTTTTGGCAGTTTTTCCTATCTTTCATATTACGGGTTAAGGGTCATTTTTAGAGGGAGAAGAAGATATCAGAGCACCATTGGAGAGAAGAATTCGAAGCTTTTTGCAAGGGTTTGTCCGTTAATCATTTGGAAACATTAATTCTTGTTTTTGTAAGTTGTAATTACACTTAATTTCATCTTTTAGACTTGTGATCTTGTTCTAGCCATGTGTGGCTAGAACCCTAATTTCTCCAATTTCATGTTTTGACTTCTTGGTAGTGACTTCATTCATATGACATGATATTTGTTCTTAATTTATATCTAATGAATTTGATTTTGCTTCAATCGAATGTTTGATTCTAATTATGATTCTTATTGGCCATTTGAATTAGGGTTAGGTCATTCAAGTTATCTCTTTTACAAAATCCGTAATTGTTTTGTGAAATTGAACAAGTAACAAGCATTAAATTGATCTCTATTGAATGAATTTAGTGTAAATCTTATTCATACACTTTTACACTCCCGAGCTTATGAGGAGTATTGGGTGTTGTTGGGAACATTCACATAAAGCTTCATGCAATCTTATAATCTAATCCTAAGAGCTTGTTTAGATTAGGTTAATAAGGTTAGGATTAATCAAAGAGCTTGTTTTGGTTAATTAATATGGTGAATGGGAAGTGTTAGAGCTTATTAGCACTTTCAAGTACCAACTTAGATAGAATTGAACGAATATTGTGTCATCTTTGAGTCACATTGCTAAATTGTCATACATGGGGTTGGAGTCCTTACAAATTCTGAATTTAATTCACGCATTTAGTTGATTGCTTATGTTTTTAATTGTTTGTTTAATCATTACATTCTAAACCCCCCTCTCTTTACTATTGGTGACCATAGTACCTTGTGCAAATAGGTATAGACCAATTGTCCTGTGTCTCTGTGGATCGACCCTGCTTGCCTTGTACTACCTTTTAGTGCAATATAGTGGGATTATTTTGGAGTATATCGTACCCCTTTATTTGTTGGGTTTGACACTCCTAACAAATTGGCGCCGTTGCCGGGGACACGGTGTTACTAATTGTGTATGCCTAGATCTTTTCGTACAGGTATGCCATTGCCAATTGATTCGGAGATAGAGAAGACTGCAAAGAAGTTAAGGAAGCAAGCCAAGCTTCATAAGAGGCAACCAGTTTCCGGTACTTCTTCATCAACCAATCCCTCGGTCATCAACATTTGGGAGGACATACCCCTCTCAAGTGTATCCGCATCAGAAACAGAAAGCCCATCACTCTCACCACAAACAACCTCACCCATAAATACAACTCCACCCTCTTCACCTATTAATAATATCCTAAACAGTTCACCTTCAAAAACCACAACCAATTCTCAAGCCATGGCACATAACCCTGGAGGGAATCAAGGTCCTCCAAACCCACCACCCGAACAAACTCTTCGTCAATGGTCAAGACAAGAGGTGACTCAACAACCTCTTTGCATCACATACCCAGCCGCCACTAACTTGGAACTAAAATCCGGGCTTATCCACTTACTCCCAACTTTTAGAGGATTGGAGAACGAAGATCCTCACAAGTTCCTCACCGAGTTCCATGTAGTATGTGTGGGTATGAAACCACACAATGTCACGGAGGACCAAATCAAGCTTAGGGCATTCCCCTTTGCGGTGCAAGACGCGGCCAAAGATTGGCTTTATGACCTTCCACCGGGGACGGTAACTACTTGGGTAGATCTTGCGAGATTGTTTTTGGACAAATATTTTCCCGAAATGAAAGCTTCAGCCCTACGACGGGAAATTATCGGAATCAAGCAACACAAAAGAGAAGCTTTCCACACATATTGGGAAAGATTCAAGAAACTTTGTGCTCGTTGTCCAAAGCACGGGATCACTGAGTACCAGCTCCTCCAATATTTCATTGAAGGAATGACTCTAATGGAAAGAAGGCTTCTTAACGCCTCTAGTGGTGGATCTTTGCCCGATAAAACCCCAACTGAGATCCGAAATCTAATCAAGAACATGGCTGAAGATTCCAAACATTCAAGCCATGATGAAGAATGGTACACAGATGCACCCCGGGGTGTAAAAGAGTACAAACTCCTCAGATTGAAGCTAAATTGTCCGAGCTCACGAAAGTAGTCATGATGTTGGCCAAAGACAAAGGTGTGCAGCCCACACCCCGCCCGTGCGGTATTTGCACCCAAGTGGGGCATCCAACTGATATGTGCCCACAACTCCAAGAGGAAGATTATGAAGAAGCGAAAGTCATGGGAGGCTATTCGGGGGCAAATCAAAGAGGTTATGAGCAACCAAGAGGTGATCAGCGATGGAACAATAATCAAGGGTGGGGAGGCAATCAACAAGGGAATTATCAGCACAATCAATCGCATCAATATCAACCAAGACCACCATTTCCTCAAAATCAACCACGACCACCATTCCAACCTCAAAATTTCCAACCAAGGCATCCACAACAACCCCCTCCCCAAGCAAGTTCTTCAAGTATGTCCTTAGAAGACATAGTAAAAAGCCTTGCCACAAGTACTCAAAGCTTTCAACAAGAAACCAAGGAGAGCATAAAAAGCCTGGAGCAATAAGTATCACAACTTGCTCAGTCCGTGAGTAAGATGGAGTCGCAAGGCAAGCTACCCTCTCAAACGGAGAAGAACCCAAAACACAATGCGTGTGCAATTACATTAAGAAGTGGGAAAAACTATGAAAATCCAAAGATGCCAGAAGAAGAAGAAGAAGAGAAGGAGATTGAGGTGGAAGAAACTGTCAAAGAAGAGGAAAAGAAGAGTAATCCAAAGTCCAAGAAGCTAATAGAATCTGAAGTGAAAGTCACACCATCTCCATTTCCTTCAAGGCTGGCAAGCACCAAAAGAGAAAGGGAAGATGACGAAATCATGGCCATGTTTCGAAAGGTTGAAATCAATATCCCTCTTTTAGATGCCATTACACAGATTCCTAGATATGCTAAGTTCCTTAAGGAACTTTGCACATCTAAGAAAAAGCTTAAAGGAAATCAAACCGTGAAGGTTGGTGAAAATGTCTCAGCCGTGTTACAAAAGCGGCTACCGAAAAAATGCAAGGATCCGGGTGTTTTCACGGTTCCTTGCAAAATGGGTAACCTTTTTGTACCACGTGACATGCTT